TCACTTTCAAAAGTTAAAGAGGAATTTTTGGTTTCTACCGCTTTACAAAATATCATCGAAATACAGTTTAAGCTCTCGTGATAAAGGTAACTGAGATTAAGCCTTAAAATGTTGTGAAACCTTTTTACTTAAATTCTACCTTACAGCTTTGGTTTGTCAATGCTGAAGAGATAATTTGAAATCATAAATGATCCGAGGTATATATAATGGTTAACGATTACGAATGTGACTCTGTTATGTTTAAACTTTACCTAAGCTTTGAAAATAGTTTATTCAGATTATAATGGTAACAAATAGACTATCTTAATATGAATGAATTAAATGGATCCTTAGAATTTTTTATTTCATTATCAAATGTAATATGTAAAATTAGTGGGATTAAACTACACATAATGGGATTAGCTGTAACTTTTACAATGAGTCCAAAGCTGAAAGTACAAGGGGTTGATAAAGGCAGTTAAAGAAAAAAGCCATAAATTAATTTTGCCAAGGATACTGCCCAGAATTAACTGTAGGGATGAAGTTATAAGTAGGCTTAGGTTAATAAGTAAGGATGAGCAGATAGGCTGATTGGACTTGTGGGACCAGTTCAATGGAAGAAGGGAGCTTTTTGGAACGGATGGTTTACATTTAAATAGGATGGGGCTGGCTTGTTTGCTAGAGCTGTTAATTCAGATGTAAGGGAAGTTTTAAACTAGGACTGGACAGTGGAAATAGCCAGAATAAACTAAATGCAAAAAAAAAAAATGTAGAGAAAAGTTTAGCCTGGGATATGAGTACCAGTTATAAGGATAGACTTAATTGTTACTATTGTAATGCTAAAAGTATAAGAAATCAAATAGATGACTGTAGAGCACTGGTAGGAATAGTGAATTTTGATATAATGGAAATAACTGAAACATCGTTAAACATAGATGTGTTTTGATGACACACATTTCTTTGAAATATAAGGTTAGTAGTTATTTAACAGGGATAGAGTGTTGAAGAGAGTTGGAGGAGTGGCTTCATTATGTAAAATGTGAGTTACATCCTGTTGGAATTGAGGATATCAAAGATAATAGCAAGGACATTGAATCCATTTGGGTTTCTATTAGCAACTGTAAAAGGAAAAGGTTTTTAGTAGAAATTTGTTGAAGACCACCAGATAATACTGATGAAATTAGTGAGAAATTTTACAATGAGATTAAGATTTCAGTTCTTAATGAAGTCATAATTATGGGTGATTTTAATTTCAGGCATATAGATTGGGAAATTCTAGTCAAACCATGAGGGAGAAAGGTTTTTGGAAACTGTTCAAGATGGCTTTCTTCACCATTTAGTCAAGGAACAAATAGAAACAATGCTATTTTAGACTTATTGTTAACTTCAAATATAGAAATAATCAAGAGGGTGGAAATTGGAAAATATCTGGGTACAAGTGATCGTTGCTCTATTAGATTCAATGTTTTGCTGCATATGGGGATGAGGAATAATGATACTTTGGTTACAAATTTCAAAAAAGCTAATTTTGAAGGGATGTGACAAGAATTATCTGTTGTGAACTGGGCAACTGAATTATTTGGAGACACTGATCAGATATCGAAAGTTTTAAAGATAAGTTTTTAAATATTCAAGGTAAACATATTCCTCATAGAAAGAAAAGTGTAGCTGTAAGAAAAAAACAGGTTGGCTCACAAAAGGTATAAGAGGAAAAATAAAAAACAAGCATAGTAAATGAAAGAAATTTTAATTGACTGGTATGATGGGAGAGTTAGAAGATTATACAAGATCAAGAAAGTTGGTGAAACAGGAAACTGGGACACTGAAAAGGATGTATGAGAAAAGGTTGGCTAAAAATGTAAAAATTAACAGTAAGGATTTCTTTAAATACATTAAGGGGAACAAAATGTTAGGATAGGGATAGGACCCTTGAGGGATGATAAAGGAAGGCTATTATCTGATGATTATGAGATGGCTGGGTTATTAAATTTTGCTTTTTCTTCAGTTTTTACTAACGAAGATTTAAGCAGTATTCCACATCTTGAACATCTGGAACCGAGATCAAAAAAGATGACTGAATTAATTCTGAACTTGTTAAGAGAAAATTAGGAATTTTATAAAATGATAAGTCTCCTGGGCCAGGTAATATTTCCCCAAGGGTTTTGAAGGAGGTTAAGGATTGGATATGAGAGTCATTGCTACTATTTTTTGTAAATCCTTGAATAGTGGGCAGGTACCAAGGTAGATGATAAAAATTGTCCCAGTAATTATAAGCCCATTAATCTTACATCAGTTGTGGGAAACATTTTGGATAAAAGACGCTTTGCAAAGCCCTTTAACGAAGTTTAGAATTTTATTGGATAGTCAACATGGTTTCATTAAGGGAAAATCTTGTCTTACAAATCTTTTAACATTCTTTGAAAAGGTTACTGCTTATGTAGATTTGGTGTATCCGGATTTTCAGAAAGCATTTAACAAGGTGCCACATGAAAAGGTTGTAAAGAAATTATATGCATAGATGTGGGGGATAAATTAGTTAATTGGATAGAAGAGTGGCTGGATGGAAGAAACTAGAGAGTTGTTACCATTGAAGTTCAGTAAAACTGGATTAATGTCACAAGTAGGGTACCTCAGGGATCAGTCTTAGGACCTTTGCTCTATTTTATTTACATCAATTACATAGATAATGGAATGGTAAATAAATTACATAAATATGCAGATGATATTAAGGTCTTTGGGATTGCTAGCTGTAAATTTACAAAAGGTTTAGATAATGAGTTGGGCAAATAAATGGCAAATGAGTTTTAATTATAATAAATTCAAAATCATACATGTAGGTTATCATAATTTGAATTATAAATATGATTTAGATGGGAATAACCTTAACAGTGTCATGAAAGAAAAATATCTTGGTGTAATAGTTGATCACTCTATTAAGCCATCCAAGCAGTGTGCTGTTGCTAGTGGTAAGGCAAATAGGATTTTAGGTTATAACTACTGAAATATTGCATATAATTCTAATGAGGTTATAATTTCATTGTATAGGTCACTGGTTAGGCCACATTTGTTGTGTTCAGTCTTGGGCTCCTTATCTTAGGAAGGACATTAAATTGTTGGAAAGGTTTCAGAGTACGGTTACTGGAATGGTGCCTGGGATGGAGGGGTTGTAGTACGAGGAGAGGTTGAAACCTCTCAAATTGTTTTCTCTTGAAAAAAAAGAGTTAGGGGGATCTGATTGAGGTGTTTAAGATTGTAAAGGAAATTTATAGTGTTGATGCATCATCCTTTTTCATATTTAACAATGATAATAGTAAGACTAGGGGACACAAGTATAAATTTAGGTAGGATAAAAGTTATCTTCAGCTAAGACAGTTATATTTTTCTAACAGTTTGGTTGGCTTTTGGAATGGGTTGCCTTCAGATGTTGTAGAGGCAGTATATACGAATGATAAGGGCTGGGTTTAAGATTTTTTTAAATCTATTTATAAATAGTTTTAGTTTATTTTAGAGGATAGGACAGCCGAGGAGGACCAATAGGTCCCATGTTGTCCCCAAAACACTATGTTATGTTATATTAAGTTAAACAAATCTGAAAAGCGTATTTGAAATACAATAACAATCGATGATCATATGCACATGGAAATTTGAATAAAGACACTATAAAATATTGTTTTTAATGTCACGAGTTCTCTGTGTTTCATTTATAAGCACTGTCTGCACTAGACGTCCCCAATTTAGCAGTGAAAGACTAGAGAGAAGGGAGCTAGTCATCACTGCTTACCACCAACACTTGTGTTACTCTTTTAGCAACGAATAGTGGGATTGAGCGTCACATTATAACGCCCCCACGGCTGAAAGGGCGAATATGTTTGGTGGGATTCGAAACTTCAACCCTCAGATTGTAAGTTAAGCGCCCTAACCACCTGGCCATGCCGGGGCATATATGTGTATATAGAAAGGTTTTGAGGTCCCTTACACGGAAGTGGTGATAATTTGTAGTTGTCGATTCGTTTACAGTACAAGAGTTATTGAGCGTCTGAGTTGATTTGTTTTCAGGGATCATGTTTTTCCATCTCTTTTTGCAGCTTCTAAAATCAAAGAAAAAATCTGTATCACTTCATAATGTTAGTTTTCGTAGTTAGATTTTAACAAAGGGCTGATAATTTTGTTGTTTTCTGAAGCTGAAGTTTTATGTAAATGTCTACTGTATTGTTAAAGTACTTTACCAACCGGTATTCTCTCGAAGTTTAGGGACAACTGCATGCCTCATAAACATTTTCTATATTTTTTGAGTGGTGAAAGTTGTACAAGGTCAAACTCAACCATTGTGACCACATCATATCAAATTTCCTTATACCAACTTTGCTTTAGCCTTCACTTAACTGTCAAATTACCGACTAATTTCCATGCCTTTCACTACCAAAGGAGATCCATATATGGCACCATAATAAGTAGTTTAAGTTTTTGGCTTGTTACAATACCACCCAGTTTAATGAACTTATTTTTTTATGTAAAAATACATGAAAACAATTAGGTGATTTCACAAAGTAAGATTGGTTACAATATTTTTGGTATGTGTTTATTTGAATGTTTTTATATAACTCACATGCTATTAAAGATCTAGTAATCAATAAATGGACAAACAAGGCACTGCAGCTTAAAGAGTTGGAAAAAAAAACGTGCTTAAAAACCCAATGTATTGAACCCAATCAGTAAATCTATGACTGGATGAAATCTTCTCTCTATATTGTTTGACAATATTACTTACTGCAATTTAGAGATATTCTGTATCGAATGTAACTAAATATATATTTAAATATATATATATAATACGTCGAAGACATTTTCACGATTATGCATTTAGAATCGAAGTAGCGCGCAAGAACTATCTTTTGTTTTAACTTCAAGTTTCAAATGTTTATTTACCTCTTTGTAAATGAAACTATTATTCTTGCACAGCGGTTTCAGCTATTGGTGAAATCTCTTGGAAGTTACTTTCAATTGTTTTTTTTTTCCTACAGATTTATGATTCATGGTTATTTGAAGAACACTACGACAATGTGAGCCATTTCCTGTAAAATACAGAGCATTTGGAGGACTCTGAAAGCAAGAACAATTAAATCTTCTGTGCTACTGTCGTACTTAGTGGAATGTTAACCACGTAGAAGCCAAGGAACTTCTACTTATATGAGACATGTTTATTATTATAGCGAATCATTAAACAAACGAATGTTTTTTGGTTTTTCTGTTTCTTTAAGCTTGAACAACAAAGAATGTTACTGATATGATCAAACAACGAACATTTGTCGAAATGCCCAGACTAAGAAGATCAGTTGTATGGATAGTAACCATTCTTGCAGTGCATGGAATAGATAATGTTTGTAGTTATGATAATTCCAACGACTCTCAGCCACTAATTAATTATTCGATATACCAAGACGGCCGACATTATGGTGATGCAGAAACCTATAAAGAAATAAGTGAAGACAGTAGTAACGATGAAAGTGTTAGAAATAATCAGATTATTTCTACTGCATTGTCGCTTTCACTATTACCAACCTTTTTGGAAAAGTGGAACGATTTTGGACACCCTGATTCAACAATTACCATGGATAACCATATTATTTACCCTAATGCTTCTAGAGATGTCCATCCACCTGAAGTCAAATTAAAAAATCCCAAACCCAACCCACAATTGCCTAAAAAGATCCAGTCTGCTTTAATACTTTCTTCAAATGAGCAATCAATAAGCGAAGAAACGTATGCAATAATTATGAAAAATGATACAAGTACAGTTATTACTACTGAAGAACCAGCATCTAACAGTGATCACGTGGAACCATATCCTACGAACACTTCCATATTGTCGAACATCATAAAGGGTAAAGAAACTGATATGAAAAATATTAGACACTATTATGCTACTAATTCTAAACATAATTCTTCACACCATAACGAACCTCATATCATAAAAGTTGATGAAGTTTCTTCTTCTCCCTTCATTCATAAAAATTCCGTTCCATTTCGTACTGAAACGTCTAGTGGAATAATAAGGAATCACACATTTTCAATTGTAGACAAAATTTCTTCCACTGATAAAACAGAACGCAGTTCCAGCATTAAAATACTACCACTTAGAGGTCTCTTGGCTTCAAATATTAGTGATTATGTAAGGAATGCTGCTATTAACCCTAACATTTCTGTGTTACTTGCACCAAGAAACAGGTATACGAGTTATATGGGATCAGGTGTTTTGTCCAAACCTGTACCAAAGAAAATGCACGCAAATCATTTTGAAAGAAATGTTCATAATACATTTACTAAACCTGGACAACAACTTAACTCCACCATTGGTCGTCTTGGAAAACAGTTATCTATTATTACTGGTATGTTAGTGCTACGACATAACTCTACGAATCACTTAGGAACAGATACCTCCAACCTCACCACGAATCTTGAAAACCAAAATTACTCTGTCAATCAACTAGAATATGACGACTTTATTGAAATTCAGGATTTTGAATCTGATGTATATAATGATACACAAATGTCTGTACTGAACTCCAAATCATCTGGTTACTTAAAACCAGCTCTTTCTAATGTTTCAGGGAAACTTGATTATCTGTATAACTTCAAAAGTCACTCTAAAACCGGTGTTTCAAATTATACGCAGACGCCTATTCTAAACTATCGCTCTTCTGGTAATGATACTGAAAAAAATGAATCCCGATATAACTTTAAAAGTCACTATATAGCGAATGTATTCAACGACTTTGGAAAAAACATACTACAGCATAATAGAAGTTTTTTAAAGTTCTTACTATCTTCCAATATATATTTGAATCGGCAAAAGATCTCTACTGCTCACGCATCTGAAATAAACGACACCCATACTTTTGGCTCCAAACCAATTTTTCTCGTTGTTCCTGAGAAGAATAGAACGAAACTAAATTCTACGGCGAACAATCGGTTCGGCCTAACTTCATATCCTAATCCTAGAAAAAGTCAGACACACATAAAGAAATCGTTTCCTGAAATTAATGCAAGTACACGTCCTGCAGATAAACTATTTAGCGACTCCATAAAAAAACTTTTTGGTTCAGAAATGGAGCTGACTGGCTGGTCTATTGGAAAGAAACCTCTGCCAACCCCCTTGGTTAATCATATAGAGTTTTCTACTTCAAGTACTCTAATAAATATACCAAGGACAGATGATGGATTTTCAAATATCTCCTTAAGTGAAGTAAAACTTCCAATCAAAAACGATAGCTCGATAAAATTAAACTTTCCACGCGAAAACTTCACAGATAAATTTATATCTCAGTCTTCAAATCTAGCATCAGAACCACAAAGAAATGTTGTGAGAGAAACCTTGCAGTTCCCTTCAGGAAACAGCTCGGAAGACTACACAGCATACATTTTACAGAATGAGCAACAAAACGGGTCTATAAGCATTTGGACGACTCAAACGCTTGACCAACAATTCGGTGATCCTAAGAGGGCTGAAGAATCAAACCCAAATCTCAACCTTGAGGTGCAGCAACATATCTTTACTTCGACTGAAATCATCAATACTAACTATACGACAGAGTATGAAGAACATGTTTTTAGGAACATAATAGAATGGGAAAAATCTCAAGAGTCATGGGGCCTTGCATGGGAACTCCATGTTTATGTTATGGGCTCTTTTTTTGGAGTTTTATCACTTTACGTATTCCAAAATATATTGAGACTAAGGGCATTTGAAAAGCTTTTTACTAGTGGCTATTTCATCAGTATTACTTTGATTATGTTTGTGATGGGGACTACCAGAGCTTTGTATCTACTTTTCAATCCTTATAATATACGTGGTTTTTATCCTCCGATACTGAATGAGCTTATTCTCAACAGCGGCTTTCTCTGTATTACGTCAGCTTTTGCCTTTTTATTTTTAGCGTTGCTTCAAACCACAGAAGTCAAAGTTTTCCCACAGTTTGTCCAAAGTATAGGTTTTGTATCAGGAATCTTAATATTTCAGTTTACATTTTCCATTATGACAGATATCTTACATGGATTGGGTTTAACAAAGAAAATCTTGCTTTTAACTCGACAGGTTACAGTACTTTTTTGGGCCATGACGATGGCAGCAGGATATTTTTATGTCTTCGGAAAGCTTCAAAAGTCAGCAGTAACAAAACAAATCAAGATGATTCGTATAGCTCTTACCAGACTTCATATTGAGGGTGATCAGTTGCCCCCAAAACTTCCGAAACCCAATCTCTGTCTTGCTGTTCGATTAACAACTATGATTGCAGTACTCATTTTTCTAATAGTAGCCTTACATGTTTTTGGAATAATATACGTAAATAAGATCTTTCATACTGAAATTCCTAAACCATGGGCTTGGTGGGGTTACCAGCTTGGTGATCGTATACTGGAACTATTAATTTGTTTTTCTATTTCGTTTGTGACAACGCTTCCGATGAGTTATATGGAGTCAAAGAAATCAAAATGTTGTAACGTTTTCTTTCAAAATATGTTTAATAGTGTTGAATATTTTTGTTCCGAAAATGAAGAAGCAGACAGTGAAATATTTCCTATCTGTTTCGCTAATTATCAAAGTCATCCTAATCCCACCTTTCATACAGCACCGCTTGAAAGACCAAGACGTTTGAATCACACTAACTCTCTTCCCACAATCCCAACTTTCTACAAGGAACTTGGAAGTGGTTCTCACTGGAAGAAAATATCAATTGCTGAAGGTCACGAAGAAGAACAAACATATCCAAGTAGAACCAGTTTTTTGCCCTCTGATATATCAAAACCATCTACTAATCTGATGTTTACAACAGACAATAGACCAGTGATCTCCCAGAGCAAGCTTGCAGAGAGACAGTCTGCCTCTCTGTTGTACATAGATCAAGGCTATATCCGGTTTCGTACTGCTGCTGACCATGAACAACCGTTACATCTTAGTGAAGACGAGCCGACTGAAGAAGAAAGTTACCACGATGAAAACGAATCTACCAGGGTTTATGGTGGCTCTAGCATACATACACTGTGCGAAGATGATTTCGAACAAAGCTCCCTATCTCCATATTTTCACACTGGTTTTCACCATTCACGGCTTAAAAGAACGAGTCGATGGAGCTTGGATACAGCAGATAACAGCATAGAACTATCTCCGGAACTGTTAAGTAATGTGAATGAACTGTCAACTAGTATGGTGGAACTTACCCCACGAAAACAAGGCAGCACGTGCAGTTCTGAGAGTGCTGCTAATAGTTTTAACGTAGCTTTCTTTTTTAACCGTTCTGCCAGAGACGCACCCAATATTTCTCAAATTTTGTTCGGAGAAGTGTACGAGGAAAAGACTTATAGCGTCGATATTCCCGGTTTGATGGCACGTAGCGTATCTCCAATAACAGCGTGTGCACGAAGGAACCACGAATTCCAGTTAAATTTGAACTTGCCGTATTCTAAAAATGAGGAACAAGTAAATGTAGCTTGTGGTACGGAAGATATAACTCCAGACTCGGCAGTATACCTTGATCTTCAACTTTCTCAAGAAAACTCTTGTTTAGAAAGTACAAATGTTCTTTTGGAAACTTCCAGAAGAAAATCTTCATTTAGCCACTCTATGACCGATCTAAACAAATTGAGAACATTTATTATGTCGCCAGATGAATGTTCAAAGACAAAGCAATACTCTTGGGGTTTTTTTGACCGGTTGAAATACTCCACATTCTCTTTGAACGCCAATATGAATTCCTACGAACCTTTAAAGTCAGATGATATCACCCTAAAGGGAGCTTGCGCATTACATAGACTCCAAACAGAAGTAAAACTGAGAAGATCAAGCAGTGACAATGGTCCGGCCCTCTTTGAAAACTGTACCTTCTTTACCTCACTTAGAAATGTAAAAAAGGGAACTCTTGCAAAGAAAGAGCAATTATATCAAGGTGATAGCGGACTTCTAAAGGATTCGTCAAATAACTTGATTCAAGTTGACCAGGCGTGTCAAACTGATCCTATGATCACTCAAGAAAAGTGTTTTACGACACGAAATGAAACCAAAAAAGATCAATGTGGACGTTCTATGTTTAATAACAAGGTGTTAATAGTGTAATAAATAAAGAACCAATGTTAGTATTATCAATGAAAAATCTTGTAAAGTGTGCAATAGTTCATTATAAAAAAAGAAAAAATGTAAATGCAAAATGTTCAATAGTGTTGTAACACGATCACTGGTAATGCTCGTGAATAAACATTGTGTTGTTGATGGGTTACCTAAAACAAAACTGAACCTCAATAGGTTTCCTTTGTTTTTCAAAATATGCTTAGATGTGTATAATTAATGGCTTGTATCGATAGTGAGCGTTCTTCTATGTAAATAACTCGATTGAATGAGAATATATAGTTGTAAGTAAAATGTGCAAAAAATATCTTGAACAAAACTAGCGTTGGTGATAGGAACTTACTTCTGTGCACTAAATCAGTAAGACGAAAATCATATGTATATGGTAATATTTTTCTTATTGTAAACTACTGAAACTTCTGCTCATAAGTTTGTGGAAAATGATTAATATTTGTATAGTGGTCCACATATCATTTCACCTATTAATGGCACATTCATAAGACATGCTTTGTGCACTTAAGACCATAACATTTCATAAAATGAACTAGTGTGGTTTATATATGTATAGCCCCCCCAGTGGCACAGCGGTATGTCTGCGGACGTAAAACGCTAAAAACTGGGTTTCGATATCTGTGGTGGGCAGAGCACGGATAGCCCATTCTGTAGCTTTGTGCTTAACTTCAAAACAAACAATTATATATGTATATAAGTGTCGTGCTCACTCTTAACTATATGTATAGCAGCTAACAGCAAAGTTTGGAACTGGAGACACATAAACACCACAAACTTACATTATTAGCTATAGCTAAAATCAAACTTATCTTAAGAATGTTTCTGTTGATGATCCAATCTTCTGTACACGATCACAAAAACAACAACTAATGATGCTGTAATTTATACTACAGGTGATATGCTTGTGTTGATTGTAACAGTTTATTGTAATGGTGAATCTAAAGAACCTCTATCGTAACTTATGGTAGACATAATGATTTTTTTTATAGACTGTTACGGTACATTGTATCGGTGTGTCTCTTAAACATCTATATCTTCCGGTAGGATTAGTGAACTTCTGTAGACTGTCACGGTATATATCGTAACCCTGTCCTGTAACTATTGGTAAATTTATTAACTTTCTGTACAGTAAGTTCTCACGGTATATATCCTGACCCTGTGCTATAATTACCGGTAGATCTATTAACCCTCTTTAGGCTGTTACAGTAAATTGTCACGGTATAACCTGTACTTTAACAACCGATAAACTATTACTGTTGACTGTAGCAGTAGATCCCAACAACCTCTCTTGTCATTAAAGATGGGTGTATGTATAAACAGCTTCAGGGGTATAGTTCTGGCCTCAGTGAGCGTCAGGCCTAAAACTAAAAGATAATTAGATCACAAAGCTGCAAGAAGTTTAAGGAAGACTTGTCTTCTCCCAATCTATTATTTTAAATTAAGAATCACATGTGGTAGCTAAGTGATATTTTGGTGGATTACACAACACAATTTTTTTTGCATTTTCGTGATAACTAACAAATATAACTACAATTTGATTTAAGTCTATAGTGCGAGATATTTAAAAGTGTGGGGCCTAAGCTTATGTTTAAAGCCGGCACAGTTCAAAAGTTTTGATTTAAGCAACTCCTCCAGGTCAGTTTGGAGAAAGGTGGTTTACATACAGCCGGCACTATTCAGTAGCTCAAATTTAAAATCTGTCTTCAGTTCATTTTGGAGAAAGTTGATGTGCTTAAAGCCTATAACGTTAAGCAGTTAAGATTTTGAGCATCGTCTCTGTTTCAGTTTGGAGAAAGTTGATATGCTTATAACCGGCACTGTTTAGAAGTTCAGATTTTAAAATGTCTCCAATTTAGTTTGAAAGAAGTTGATGTGCTTTAAGGCACCACTGTTCCGAAGTCCAGATTTAAACCCTCTCTTCAGTTTACACGAGTTAATTTAGAAATGCATTAACAAATTGAAATATTAGATTACTTTGAAATCTAATTTGTACATAAAAACGTGTTTAATTTAAGGTTTTTAAACAATGAAAGAAGTAGTAAGTTTTTTCTACTTATAGAGGTGAGGATGAACAAAAATACATTAGAAGACCAAAACCTACATCGTACTGCCTTGTCTTTAAATAAGGCTATAGATGAAATTTCGTACATAAGAGCTCAACCTTCAAACGCCATATAAACATGTGTTGTTTTTTTTTAATTTTGAAAAGCCTAAAAATTAAAGAACCAGTAGCATTTTATCATATATTGAATAAGAATATTTTTAAATGATCTATTTTACTCACTGTTCATTGTAAAAGTTACAACAAAACCTTGTTGTACGTAATATTGTTTATTCCTTGGAATTAACATTGTCTCCTTTAAATAAGGTCTTTCTATTACAATGGATAAAAAGAGGTAACTATGTAGTGTTATAGCTTCTTCACATAATAATTACCAATCTGTAAATATAACTGTCATTATTTTTCAATGTATCTGTGTTGTATAATTGAAAAAGTCCAGTGTAATAATATTTATAATAAATGCCAAGTAAAGTTTGCGGTTTATATTTTGTCTCGTTTTTACGAAATGATTCATCCTTGCTTATTAGTACTATCTTCGGCCCCCGGTAAGTTGTGGGCTTTAACAATAAAAATCGGCTTTCGATATCCGCAATGGGCACGGCAAAGTTAACCCATTTATGTGCCTTTGTACTTAACGAACAACCAATAAACAAATACTTCCATCCTGCCATCTAAACAACACATTACAGTCAAAAACTGAAAGATAGAAACTTAATATTACATAAATATGGGAGGAATAAAATACCATTAGTAACACTAAATTTATTAAAATCGGGTACTCAGTAATAAAGTTTATAAAATGGCCATTTCAGAGAACTGCACAAAAGCTTTGTTTATTTGTTTAAGAATTTGGCGCAAATCATTGCCGTCTAATTTTGAACTGATATACTACTGTAAACTTTGGACTAGTTTTGTCTGACCGAAAAGCGGGATTTGACAGTCACTCTGATAATGTTTTCACGTGGAGCACATTTTTGTAGCAATGAAATGCCATAGTCGGAGCTCACTAACCATGAAGTCACGGCTGTATTAACAATAATATTGTTCCGATGTATAAAAAATTGTTGCAGAATAGTACAAAAATAAAATAAAAATCATTGTAGTGAGTGAAAGCAACATTTCAACAGCAAGTATCAAGAAAATTATTAAAAAATATATATTATGTTTTATATTTTACGTATAAGAGTACTTTAAATACACAGGAAGAGCATAGAATAAACGTGGGTATAAACGTATTGTTAGTGAAAGAGCCATACACTCTATATTTTGTCAGTTGGTACAGATATATAGAATATACGAGGAACACAGACGGAAAAACAACAACAACGACAGGTAGGACACAAAAGATAGTAACACGATGCATATCTTCAATATTTTGCGTCACGTAATGCTGAACACAGTTTTTGCTCGAGTGTTACTATTGGATAGTTGTAGAAATCCCACTAGTCGTTCAGCAAATGAATGAGTTCTGGCATCAAACTCGTAACCCCCCAGTGGCACAGCGGAATGTCTGCAGACTTACAACACTAGAAACCGGGTTTCGATAACCGTGGTGGGCAGAGCACATATAGCCCATTGTGTCTCATCGTGCTTAATTACAATCAAATTCTAATTGACGTTTTGTCAATCAAATTGGCCGAGTTGTATGTTGAAAGATTTTACCGCCACCTATACGTTTACATCAAAACTGCCATTCTGCCAGCCCTTAGTGTCAATATATTGTATAAGTTATTCAAGGTTTTCTACATTCTTCCTGACGATCAAGAGAAGAGAATTAAGCATCCTTAAAATACAGGCTCCATAAATATTACGTAAAGAATAGTTTGGAACACGGCGGCAGCAAAGGAAGACAAACAGAACAAATAACAGAATATTTATTCAAAGTAAAGTATAAACTGTAAATCACCAACTTACTGGTCAGCCTCTGTTTCATTTTGTGACGATAGTGAGTTACTACGATAGAGATATTTTCAAAAATGTCCACACGACAATAGCAAAAAAGAGATCCAGAAACATGTAGAAAATCCAACTTCTAATCAGACCAAAGTCCTAGAGTGGCTTCTTACAATTCTTAAGATCATTCCAAATAAACATATTAAAGGGAAATAAACCCAAACTCATATTAATTTGTACAAATCTCTCTAAAGACTATTACCTTTCTCCAGAACGCCTTGACACGGAAATGGGGACAAGCAAGCACAAACTTATGAAACTATCATTGATTCATGTAATCTTTAGCTAAGCAAGTCTGGTTTAAGAGGACGTCATTGACTATATACAGAATACCTACGTGAAAAATCAGAATAAAATATATGAATTTAGCTAAAGTTATACTAGTTTTGGAAAGATGAAATCAGCAGTTCTTTTAACTGCAAAAACAATATGGTTTACCTGTGTGGTATTTAGGTGCACTGCTGTCCAACAGATAAGAAATATATAGTATATGTCAAGTGCAAATTCTGTAAATTTTATACAGAGTAATATAATGAGTTTGGATTACAAAGAACAACAAGCAAGTACGACTGAAAACAAATACTTTTATTTGCAGTGTCTATTTATTATAGCTTAAAAACTGATATTTTTTAACTTAAACTGGTTACAAAACCTGGAGACAAAGTTTTCAAAAATATCTGAACATGACAAAGACAAAGCAAATAATAATGCAATACCACATTTTCAACTCATAGTAGGGTCCTAATGTAGTATCCCACAATACCTAGATTACTTACCTCAAATAGCAATCCAAAACCATATATTTAAGGGAGATAAACCCTCAACTCGTATCATTTTGTACAGATTTTGTACTACTTTCTGGAATGGATAATACCTCACTGTCAGGGGCTTTGATACATATTTGCATGAGCTCTGTAAATAACTATTGTGTTGTGTAACTTTTACCTAATCAAACGGATTAGTAGATGTTTACAACCTCTGAATATTTGACTTAGAAGGATGTCATAACTACTTGCAGAATAACAGAGGAATTTGTACATTATAGTAAAGTGATTTTGAATAAGCAAGTCAGCAAGTTACGTGATAATCACATTTGATATAAAGTATAATGGAACGAACGATATATCAGAACTACATTTTGACATTGTCGCGTTGTAGGTAGGGTTATGCCACGGAAAATGTATCGATTTTAGAGAGGATATTCAAAACATTCTTACACTCAGATCATAAAAATGTATTCATATCGAGGATCTAGTTTTTCAAGAGAGATCTACTGTACTTAGTAGTATTAGAAAACAATGGAATATTGGTCAGCTTGAGGCACTAAGACATTCAGAAAGAGACCTTCAACAAGTCATATCCCAGCCATTGTAACAGGTGAAAAATCCACGAATACTAAGACCAGTGACAAAAGCCGTCCAAATCTCCCAGACAGCAGTTCGCAATATAATCAAGAAGGACATCCATATGGAAAAGTGAAAAGTCACATGCACACTAGCTGCTTCCACCACATAGTTGTTCAACCATTGCATATGAAGACATATCGATCAAATCGCTGGACATGGCACCT